AAGTCCATAAGGCCCGTAAGGCCTGCAGAGCCCGTAGAGCCCGTAGAGCCCGTAGAGGCCGCAAGGCCCGTAGGGCCCGTAGAGCCCGTAGAGCCCGTAGAGGCCGCAAGGCCCGTAGAGCCCGTAGAGCCCGTGGAGCCCGTGGAGCCCGTGGAGCCCGTGGAGCCCGTGGAGCCCGTAGAGTCCGTGGAGCCCGTGGAGCCCGTGGAGCCGTGTTGAACACCCATGAAACTCCGTGGAGCCGTGGAGCCCGTAGAGCCCGTAGAGCCCGTGGGGCCCGTGGAGCCCGTGGAGCCCGTGGAGCCCGTGGAGCCCGTGGAGCCCGTGGAGCCCGTAGAGCCCGTAGAGCCCGTGGAGCGCGTGGAGCCCGTGGAGCCCGTAAAGCCCGTTGTCGTTCAGAAGGGCTCTTCTCGAAGATGTTACAACGTGCCAGGAACGTCTTGCAAGTCACTTGACGAAGATGTCTTGCGTGTGTGTGCACAGGAACATGAACGTTTTTAACTCACCCCACCCCACCCCACCGGTAACTGATCATGAAAGATCAGTGCAGTGCGTGTGTCTGCAGGACAGCAAGAAAGATGATGAGGTTGCTGTGCCTGACTCCATGTCCCAGCCCCGTGTCCCCAAGTGTTACCCCAAAGTGTCTGGTGCTCAAAGTGATCCACTTTTTTTGGTGCTCTAAGTGATCCCATGGTGCTCCAAGTGATCCGGTGCTCTAAGTGATCCACTTTCCGGCGCTCTAAGTGATCCCTTAACCGCTTCGCCCTGGAAATTTGCATATTTTATTTTCCAGCAACCGGCACTGGCAACCGGCACCGGCAGCTGGCCGCACAGGCAAACGCCACCGGCAACACCAGCCGGCAACGACCACCAGCCACCGGCACCGGCAGACGGCACTGGCAATCGCTCCAATTTGGGTTTGTTGCGGGTAGGGTCGGTTTAAGATCGATTATTTTTTTTTTCAATTGGTTTCCTGAGGGTATGTTTTAGCTTTGCTCAGGAGTTTTGAGTTAGTTTAGGGTTTGTTTTTGGTGGTTTTCAGGGTTGGTTTAGGGTTGTAGGGTTGGTCCAGGCTTTGGGTACAGTCAGTTTGGGGTTGGCTTTCTTTGCAATTTTGTTTGGGATTCGTTTCGGGTTTGCTTTCGGCTTGGTTTTGGGTTGCTTTAGGATTTGTTCGCTGGTTTATGATTTATTTGGGGTTGGCTTAGGGCTTCTTTAAGGTTACTTAAAGGTCTATTCAGGGTTGGCTTAGGGTTTGTTCTAGGATTTGTCTTTATTGGATTAGTTTAGGGGTTTAGTTTTTTTTTTGGGGTAGTTTCGACTCTCTTTCGGGTTGGTTTTGGATTTGTTTCCAACAACCTTCTCGCAGCCACTCCAGTGCGATCTGCCACCAAACATTGCCAAACACCATAGCACTACGCCGCAAACACCTTCAAACCCGCTCAGCACTGCGGACTCTTTCTGAGCACTCAGCGACCACATCCACACCCGCCGAACAGACAACCTCCCAGCTGACCCGCCAAACGCACCACATCCTGAAATTTACAGCATTTCGCACCATCACTACCACTTCGCTTAAAGTAGCTACAACAGCCTTACGCAACATGTTGTTAACGTAATGAATTGTTGAGGTAATGTGTTGATGATGTACTGTTTTGTCGAAGTAATGAATTGTTAGTTGAACTAATATATTGTGCTGTAATGTAATGTAATGTAGTGTAATGTAATGCAATGCAATGCAATGTAATGTAATGTAATGTAATTATTAATTATTATGCAATGTAAATGTAATGTAATGTAACGTAACGTAACGTAACGCAATGCAATGCAATGCAATGTAATGTAGTGTAATGTAATGTCATGTAATGTAATATTGAAGTCATGTCTGGCAGACATTGTCTGGTTAATGTAACGTGATGTTGAAGTGATGTAATGTTGTTGATATATGTAATGTCTTGTTGAGGTAATTGAGCTGTTCGTAGTTCGGAAATTTTGTTCCTAAGCTTCCTTTGACTAAACATGGTGATTTTCAGGAGCTAAGTCTAAGTCCATCGAAAGACATCCTTTCGGGTTTTCAGACATGACCGGAGTTTCACAAAACATAATATTGAATCTTGCTCGCATTGAGGATTTTTTTTTGCCATTTTTGGAAGCCACCATTGACCACGCTGCTAGGATCATTCTTAGCTTTTCATGGCTGAGCGTTTTTATTCAGAGTTTGCCGTCACGATTGTTGATCTATCCTCCCATGAATGCAGGTGTTTGCAGTGATGCTGAAGGTTTGATATTCGTTGCGTAGATGTTGGGAACCACCTGCTACCGCGAACAGGAAACAAATTGCAATCTCGGGTTTTGGAGTGTGGCGAAATTACAAAGTCCTGACTGTTTTGGTTTTCGGTTCAAGACGAGATAGCCTTGTATAGGGTTTTTTTGGATGCTATAGGGTTTGTTCATTCCACAGGTTCTGAAAATCCCATTGATCCCATTCCGGAATCCATGGAAGGGACGCATCAAGCTTTCAGAATCGACACTTGTATGAGTTGATTTGTGTTTCACGCCTTTCTCGGAGACTTGGGTGCCTAAGTCAAACCACAGACACCACAGACCCTGAAGCCAAGTTTCAAGTCGGAAGTTGACTGAGATAAGACCAGATGTGGCACAGAGAAGTTGAACAGAATTGAGGGCTTGTTGCAAGAGGCTTACACTGCTGCTTTTTCGGCTTCAACTTTGCTCACTTTGCAGTCGCCGAGTCTGGAAGGGAGAAAGCCGAAACGCATCAGTTCATTGGGATCCACCGCTGCTCAAGTTGTCAGGCCGTGTTTGGGTCAAAATCGAGAGTCTGCTAAGTCTGCCTGGTGGCAGGCCATACCAGACTTGCCCAGTCTCGATTGACAGACACGCAGTTTCTTGCCAGTTTTTAATGTCGCATCCAGCGATGTTGGTTTCCATGTTAGGAACATCCTCCCATTTTGCATCCAGCGATGCGACATTCGCAAATCCAGTGACTTGAATGGCTCGCGTTCGTAGGGACTGATGGCTCGCGGGGATGTTCTCACTACTGCCGGCTTTGGGTTAACCCGTGCAGACTGACTGAACATCGAATCCTGTTTGTGCCAACGGATTGACAGAAAGATTCGATTGCCTCGATTCAAAGTTGTTGAGCAGCTTATGTCAGTCAGACCTCGTGGTTGGTTGGAAACGTCGCTGCCTTCGAACATCTGTGCATCGCAGTTAGGAACATCGATTAGTTGAATCATTGAATCCATCAAGACTATCCCTCTCAAAGAAATGGGATGAACGACCGGTACTGGAAGGCGCGAGGGGTTCAGGACCTGGTTGCACCAGCAACTTCCAGGATGGGACGGCCATTGGGACTGTTGTTCCAGCCGTTAGCTGACAGCATGGGTAGATCCAAGTGATGAGGCCCTATTAAATCTATTACCTCCGATCCATTGATCTCCATTGGTCTCCGATCCAAGAGGCCCCTAGTATGCGAAAAAATTGTCGCCGACCGAGTCGTGCGTGTAAAGCGCGAAGCTCGCGCTTTCAGTCAACGAAGGATTGGAGCAACGGAAAGCTCTGAAGCCTCAGCCAGATCAAACTTGCACCAGTTGCAGATGCTTCTTACTCTCAGTAGATGCATAGATTCGTTCAAGAAAGGGGCAGTTCCCGTCAGCTGACAACTTGCCACGATTGTTGAGGTCGGCCGAGTTGTTAGACTTCCCGTTGTGACAGGCAAGTGACAGAGCATGATGGAACCGGACAGGCTGTCAGCGCAGTCAGAGAGGCCCGATTTCAAAATGTGACCAGCAAGGTCAGTCGAAATCAAGCAGTCATTTTCTCCGTGCCAGCTATGTAGCATGTGGCTAGCACAATGCCCAGCTTGTAGAATCTCAACAGCTGGCTGGCTTGAATGCCATTTCTTGTTTCCCTCTGTGCAGCGGGGGTCGGGTACATTTGGGTACGGAGTCCTAAGATTGGAGAGAGTCGAAGGCCATGTAGCAAGATCTAAAGGTGACCCAGTAGCATCGTGTGATGAGCAACTATGACATAGAGAGACTCTAAAATCTCTAAATTTGGGTTGCTGAGTCAAAGGCCAAACCTTGGAAACCAACCAGTTATTCGTGGTTCTTACCCTGTTCAAGCAGCCATGTGCGAATGCTTCGCCATGCTTCGCCATGCTTCGCCATGCTCTGCCCGTGCCCAACGGAGCCTTTGTAAATGTCAGATGTTCTCTAAGGTGCTCGTGAGCCGCTGTACTGAGTCATGTCTCCAAGAATGGACTCAGACCGTGTTGTTTGATATGGGTTTGATAACAAATTGCGAAAGGGAGAACATCCCGTGAGGCGACTCATGTTAGAACTATATAGATCTGCACAACAGTGTCATAAAAGCATTTGCAGGCTACCATCATTCTTTCATGGTAAAGTTTTGCTGCTTGCTGCTTCATAGACATCTTGCCGAAAAGGTGCTCTTGCCGACAATCTAGGGATTTTTCAAATACCCCCTCGCAGTACACCCTACAATCTCCCTAATTAGTGCCATTTAGCATTATTTCTCACGAAGTCGCTCGACCACGCTCGAATTCGATCGAACTAATGGGTATGATGACTGTATTTTGGGAGCCAAATTGCTGGGCCATATCATGCCGGCCCCGCTTTCCTGCTTCTCTCACGCGAGCCACCGTTCTGTGCCAGCGGCTGCTACCAGGTTATAGCTCAACAAGTACACAAGGACATTTGGAAGTGGCGGAATACGCCCTGAGCCCGACATATCCATTGATGTGTTGGATTTATCGCCAAATAAAGAGAAAAGAACCTGAACCACCCAAAACCGAGAATTTTTTAGATTTTCCCGTTTTCTAGGTTTGTTAGGTAACTTCAACGTTTTAAACAATTTCTAGGTGAGCCCCCCAATTACCTCCTTCCCAATTCCGTGGGCACAACATCGACCTCATCAAGACCGAGTTCCTGGTGAGATTTTTTCTTTGTGGCTTCTCGTCAGCGTTTCATCTTGTCAAATTGGCTTTTGTAATAGCCAATACATTTTCTCATACAACTGATTGATACAGTTGCTCCATGAACACTTCTTGCTACTCTACTCACTCGGCCTATATAATCCTCGTCAGACCACGTAGCCGTGGCCAAGGGATTCAACCGGAAAGGTCCCGGGGTGCTCATAAGTTCAAAAAAATCCCACCACATGTGGACTTTGGGTCTCAGCCGGAAAAGTTTCAGCGTTTCAGATTTTGCCATGGACGCAAGCTGGCAGTATCCAACCTAAGTAGAAGAAACATACAACTATCACATCCAATAAAGGTCGCTGTCAAAGGGAGTGCACTTGATTTTGACTCAACATTTTCATATTCAAGTAACACAGGTCTCAAAACCATAGTGAATGGCTTTGCAAGCTTCGTCAGCCGGAATAAAGATTCCATGCCTGTAGATAACATCAAAGACAAGGTTGACGCTACAGATCGTATATCGCATCGTCTCCAAGGTTTCAGTGTTGCAGTCCTAGGCAGCTGAAACATTCTCGGAATCTAAGGCTGGCCGATGATTGGCTGGTTTGAACCATGCACCTGTGACTGGGTCCAAGTTTCAATGCTGCGAAATAGATGTTCCAACCACCGGCAAACAACACCAGTGTCATGACCCTTTCCACCAAGGCTTGTTGGGAAGTCGTTTGTCCTTAATTAGCATCAACGGCGGTTTGCTGGCCAGTCATAGCTGTTTGGCACATGACATATACAGAAAAAATCAAATAACCAAATCGTGCTAAATTTTCCCAAAAGTCGATCCCATTACCATTTTTTTGAGACACCACTGGTCACAAGCTGTAAACCGATGAGTCTCGTGGCAAAACTCCCGAAAAGAAGAGTAGGCACATCTCAACTTGTCATCAAGAGATTGCCGTGGCTGTCCATGGTTGAATATACCCAATTTGCAAAGCCACACCACAATACTTGCAGCCAAATCCACTCCAAATCCAATGTGAAAAGTACGGACGATGTCTGGTTTGATATTTCTTGGGTCATCACCTGCTGGTAGGAAGCTAAAGGGTCTTTCACAATCTTTGAAAGGGCTGGGTCCTGGTCGGTTTTCAGGGGACCTCCAAGGTGCTTCGTTGTCCATCCGCCACCACTCCTGCATGGGCTGGCACACTACCCAAATTGGTTTATGTTTGCTAGGGCACTGTGTTGATCATAGAGTTTCTGATAGCTGGCTCCTGACTAGTGCAAAGGTGACATACCCGAAGACTCGTGAACCCGGTCAATAGGCAGCAGCCTGGGATCAATAGGTCGATAGGTGACACTCTCTGTTATTTCTTTGAAATGGCCAAATTAAAACCCCTTCCGCTGCATCTGAATTGTGCAGCAAAGATTCTCTTTCGCAAGTAAGGCCAATCTCCCTTGGTGGAGATCCAGGCCAGCCTGATTGTTCCACAGTTCACCTTGGCGAGCATCTTGGCTGTGTGAAGCAGTTGGACTTGACGATAAGCATCCTTAGAAAACTGGTGTTGAATATATTCCCCATATATCAATATTTTTTATAAGTTGGTGTTGGCCACAAATCTGTATAGATATGAATATTATATCCATTTGCTGACCCCCACTAAATTAAATGGATCCATGCAATTTTATTTCTTAACTTAAGATAGCATGCTGAGGGTCCAACCCTTTGAGTCCCTTTTGTGCACCCTTTTGGTTCTATCTTGCTGCATATCCAAGGCACTGCGATCTGAGCATCGAGATCTGCATCGGTTTTGTCGCCGTTTGAGGACGCCATGCTGTCTAAAGGGGCCAAACCCTCGTTAAGAGTTTGACGGGATTGAGTTGCTATGCTAGTAGTTCGTGACATTGTGCCACGAACCCCCTGGCAAACTAATCAGAGCCCCTTGAATCCTGGAATCGGTGGGCTGATCAACTCTAATCCTAGATCATGTGGAAAGAATGAATCAAATTTTTGAGAAGCTAAGCAATCCAAATGATCTATCTCATTTTTTCTTCGCGCTTTGAATTGTTGGCAAGCATCACACGCAGATCTCAGGGTATCTTAGAAATCCAAAATCCGTCTTTTTTGAATTTGCGGGTATTTGCGTTTTTTTTGCGGATATGTGCGGATTTTTTGCGGGTAAAGTTGGTTGTTTTTTTTGGTTTTTCCATCTCCAGAGATCACATGTGCATTTAATTGGCCTAGTCAGCTCAGAGTCAGTACCTTGGCACCATTTGCGCTAAAAAGAGCTTCTTACGACTGCCAGTAGAGAATCACACCAAGCCAAGACGCAAAATATCAGGATTCCAATCCAAATGGATCAAAGTTTGGGAATGCTTTCCAGCTGGACTGTTTTCCCCACAACCCCCCTTGCCAAGGGCAGTTTTTGGGTGGGATAAAGAGATGGGTGGGACAAAAGTGTCCATGGCAAGTTAAGGACGGAACCCGCCGATCCAAACCCTAAACAAGGATGGCCACACGAATATAGAATGAGGATCGTGCACCTCAGGTCGCGAGGGAAGAATGGGAAGAAGGGCTACACAGTAGGATAGGATTGGGACAACTCTGATAGAAGGCAAACCCTTGAAACCCCTCCCCCCAAATAGGTGCAAAGGCACCGCTTTCAGCTCCTTCGCAAAAAGCTTCATAGTCTCTCTCCACTCTTGGGGTATAGCCACTCGCTTACATGTCCAAAGGTAAAAGAAGCAATCAGCAAGCTTTGCATCAGGCCATGTATCTCCCATTGGAAGCGAATTGAACAGTTGAAATTCTGAAGTCATATGTTGAAAGGTTTTTTTTTGTCGCAAGCATGCGATAGGAGTCTGTTGGATTTTGTTGTCACGCCAAATTTTGACCAGTGCCTTGCCCAGCCCCTTTGGGTACTCCCTTAGAATGCACGTCATTCAGACTGCAAGCTAGCTATAAGTTTCTCAGCTGCAGAGTGTCTAGCAAGAGTGTCAACAAAAGAGTGTCAACAAAAGATGAGTTTTGGACTGTGTACCCTTGAGCGCTTTAGAGCCACAAAATCCCATGGTGCCATCTTTCTTTCTATATTGGCCTCGGGAAAAGAATAGACCATGCATGTCTTTATATAATGTATATCTGCATGAAATCAGATCCAAGATCCAAGCGAGTAGTCTTCACCTTGCATTTTTTGTCCTTGATCACCTTCTTCAAGCATCCTTTATCCTGGGGGGCAAGTGAGGACGAGTATAGGCCCCAAAATAAATGTATAGAACAGGTCTAAGCTGGGGACCAATGCTCCAACCAGAATTTTTCGCACACTCCCACCACTGTCGTTCTTTTTGGTGATTTCGATCCACTTTTGGGCCATCCATTTTTGGAGTTGCGAAATAGCTAGCTAGCTCGAGGTTGGGGTATCCAAAGACTATGGGTTATGAAAAATATCAGTTAAGGTACAAAGGCCACCCGGTTGCATAACCAAGAGAGCCGTGGGTGGTTGGGAAAAAAAAGCGCTGCCAGCAGGCTGCTCACAAAGGAATGTGGCATGGACTGCAATGCTTATTAACATTATTGCCACCAGCCTGCACAAGTACACTCATGCTTTCACATGTGTAAGCACATATATAACATGCAGGATTTCCCATATATTAATTCCATCCCCACCTTGATATCATCAAATTTGCTGCTGACACAAAGGGCTTTGATTTGATAGGTCACCAAAAACATTCAGACATGAACGCCAAGAACTTCCACGTGAAATTCTCGTCCATGAAGAACACACTTTTGCGCCATCGTCCGTGTAGTGCCCCAGGGCAACTGCGAACTTCGCAAAGACCATTCCCAACCTGAGAGCTGAGGGGAGCAAGTATATATTGGTATACAGGGGCAAGTCATGTTTTATGGGATCACTAAGTTACTGGGTGTACAGCTAAGAAGCAAGAACCCAGCTTCTGAATTGAAATCCATAGCTCTGGAGTCATTTATCTCAAAGGTCCCAACTCGGTGTTGAGGTTCATCTTTGAAGGTGCGTGCAACATTGGCCTTACCTGCAAAGTATTCTACCATCGTGGGCTGCATATCGTTGATATCCACGCCACTCGTCCATCCAAGTAGTAGCACTAGTGCTAGCAGCACCTAAGTACCCAACATAGGAACACATCCATGTTAGCTATGGACAAGGTACCACATAACAATTGCATGGGAATTATGCTGGAAATGCAGATTTAGATTTTAGGTATAAGGTCACAACCTTTGGTGCTCCTAGCTGCGCCAAACTCAGCATAACAGACTCTTTCCTTCGACCCCCCATTGCCACCGCACTTCACCCACTGGCCCGGCAGGAGGGGAGCTATTAGTTGATCCAGAGCTATCCGAGGAGACGAAGGGGTCAGGAATGGTTGGATGCCCATGGCTGTGAATGCAAATGATCGATTATTGGAAAATTCAGCACAAAAAAATAATGGGGAAGCAGCGAAAGCTAGCCAGCAATACTCGAAGAAGCAGCTCTCGTGGCAAATCGCTCAAATGACCGAGGCATTCACACCTGCGTTGGGGCTGGGAAGTAAGCTACACACCAAAACTCAGCTACACTGTTCTACACCGTTTTTGTGTAATGCAAATGTTTCTTTTGCGCAAACCACCAGCTAGATATCACCAGGTTGGCATTCGCCAGCCCTCACTTCCAAACCCCTAAGAGCTTGTCAGTGCCACGCGCCCTACCCCCAAAGTATGTTACACAGGGCTGTGGCTATGGACAAGGCAAACAGATGTAAACAGTGATGGAGCTAGAGAAATCCCGGCATCGGACTAATGGATCAAACCACTGCCACGTCCCATTGCATCCATGGGCGCTTCAGTTCGTGTCGGCGTATGCCTTGGATTTCAGGGGGTCCATGACATGAAGATTGGCTAGAAACATGTCCCAAAAACTGTGCGCTGTACATGTGGTGTATATGTTCAAAGTCATGTATTCATCTTTTTTCAGCTAGATTACCTTCTTTGCTGCAGCTCGCTTTGTCTCCTCATCACCTTCCGTTGCTTTGAAGGTCCTGTGGTAGGCTGCCGACTTTCGGCTCAGTCTCTTCTTCACCTCTGGGCTGACCACTTTTTTCGGTTTCTCTTTCTTCATACCTTCCGCATGCTTCCTGTTCTTGCCTTTCTCAGTCACAGCCTTCTTTGCAGGTTTCTTTGCATCCTTTGTGTGCTCTGCATCCTCTTTGCTTTGCCTCTTTCTCTTTGCAGTCTTGGGTTTGCTGGCTATGTCTGGGCCCACTTGGTCATTGTCACCCTTTGCCATATCCTTTTTGGTCTTGCTCCCTGTGTTGTTTCCTTTGGTGTCATCCTGTTGCTCCTTTGCAATCTTTGCAAGCCTAGCTCGTTTGGCTTCCAAAAGATGTTGGCGAGTTCTCTCAAAAGCTGTGTCCGCTCTGCCCTCTGCTTGTTTGCTCCTGCTGCATTTTGCCATTGTCTCTGCTTTGCACTTGCTTGTCTTGCTTTCATGCCCTTCTTCATGTTCTTCGGCTGCAGTCTTGTTTCTCTTGCGTTTCAAAGGTTGGTTGGGAGAATCCTCACCTTTCGATACCTTTCCCTTGGACCTATCTCTGGTGCATTCCTCAGCCTCCTCCCGATCCTTCTTGGCCTTCCTTCCTGGTTTCTTGCCTTCTTACTTCTTTTCCTTCCTGCCCCTTCCTCGTTTCTTGCCTTCTTCCTTCTTTTCCTTCCTGCCCCTTGTCTGGGTCTCCTCCTTCTGGGCCTTTGGTTTCCTGCCTCGTTTTTTGGGTGGGCATTGCTCATCTGGACTGATGCATGGAGTTTTTCCGAAGGTTTCAGGTCGCGCTAGTGTTGCTTCACTAGTGGCATTGTCTTTGGCATGCGGGTTCCCTGTCTTGTAGCTTTTTCGAACTTTGGGTTGCCAGTTGCTGCATGGATTGCTGAACACTTGGGTATCTGCATGGTCAGCCTTGTGGGAAACCTCTTCTGCCTTGTCATGCTTGTCTGTGTTTGTGTCTTGCTGTGCTGTCACATCACATGTTTGATCCTGTACTGCCGCAGCTGCTGTGTCTGGCGCCCTGGCCTTGTCTTCTGTCGTGTCTCCTGCGTCATGGGTAAAGTAGGCTGCACTAGTGGTTGGGTTTCCGCATTGTCAGCACCTAGGCTACACCATTAAAAAATAAGGGAACCCTGGATAAGATCTAAATTTATATAACCCCAAAACGGTCATACCAGAAAATCTTATAATTTATAACTCAAATGAGGAACATGCAGTGATAACAGCACGGGATTCCTTGAGTTTCTTGATAGACCGCAGATGGACAAGTTTCTTTACTGCATCTTGAAGTCGCTTGAGCTTCTCCAACTTGGCAGCTTTGAAATTTTCCATGCAAACCTTCTCCGGGGTGATTCCGCTCTGGCGAGTAGTAGCCAGAGTACCTAGCCAGCATTGGGGATGATACATCTATAAAATACTATATTGACCCGGGCAATCTCCAAACCATTCCAAACTCCCAT